CTCTCTCTCACTCACTCACTCACTCACTCACTCACACTCTCACTCACTCACTCACTCTCTCACTCACTCACTAACGCTCTCACTCTCACTCACTCACTCACTCTCTCACTCACTCACTAACGCTCTCACTCTCACTCACTCACTCACTCTCTCATTCACTCTTGCAAAAAAAAAAAAACACAATGGTAGCAAATTTCTGAAATCTGTCCTTCAAAGCCAGGAACAGAGGAAAATAGGAAACCAGTAAAATGATAAATTCCATTAGGAAAAGTTACACAAACCACCTAAAACTAAATGAGATTACTATGGTAAGACATTGAAAGATATCCATTTCATCATGAAGAATCAGATCAGTGAAATAAGGTTCTATCATTGGAAACGTGTAATCATAAAATACATTAAAGATCATCAGAAGTATGAAAAGTTCATAGTGGAAGAATTAGTACAGCTTACAATAGATCTTTAATATCAAGAAAATGATAAGATGCTACCTTATAACCACTTTCCAATGCATTGTGTCTGAGGGCAAGGCTATGCACATTCCTTGCTGATTATCCTAGGGAGTCCATTGGAAGCGTAATCCAAATCGACTTGGAAACCTCGAACCCGCTGTCCTAGAGTCACTCTCAACCCCAGCTGCCCTCCAGCACGGAGTAGAACCGCTCCCGGGACTGAGACTTTACAGGAGTAGAAAGCCTCCTGTTTCTCCTATGGGACCGCTGGTTGTTTCAAACAGCTGGTGGAGTTTGGGCCTTCACCGTCACCCATAGCCTTCTGAAAACTGGGTGCTCAGAATGTAAGCTTTAATATCGTCCCCTCCTCCTGTCTTAGGTAAATGTTATTGTTTACCATTCTTGGAACACCCAGACTGGTCTGCTTCCATGTGGCTTTGCCTCTCCCCTCACTTCTAGATAGCTGCTTGTTTTAAGACAAGCCTTGTTGTTGTTGTTTTGTTTTGTTTTTTTAAACATTTTATTAGGGGCTCATACAACTGTTACCGCAGTCCATACACACATCAATTGTGTAAAGCGCATTTGTACATCATTCTCAAAACATTTTCTCTCCATTTAAACCCCCGACATTAGCTCCTCATTTTTCCCCTCCCTCCCCGCTCCCCCCTCCCTCATGAGCCCTTGATAGTTTATAAATGGGTATTTTGTCATATCTTGCCCTGTCCGACGTCTCCCCTCACCCACTTTTCGGTTGTCCGTCCCCCAGGGAGGAGGTCACATATAGTCCCTTGTAATCGGTTCCCTCTTTCCTACCCACTCTCCCTCCACCCTCCCTGTTTCGCCACTCACACCACTGGTCCTGTAGGGCTCATCCGCCCTGGATTCCCTGTGTTTCCAGTTCCTATCTGTACCAGTGTACCTCCTCTGGTCTAGCCAGACTTGCAAGATAGAATTTGAGCCTTGTTTTAAGACAAGCCTCTATCTTCTTTCCACTTCTTTATACTTTCTTACTTTTCTTTAATGCACATGTTATTTTGAGTGACATAAACCCATTTTTTAAATTACGACAAAGTCAATAGAGCATAAATGGCTTTCTCACCAAATCTGAGGAGGAAGCCGGAGGGCGATGCAGCTTTAAACAAGAGCAGGTTTCTTGAGTTTCCCATGGAAGTTAGTTTTGAAGCCCAGCCCCCTGCCACTGCATGTGTTCTGCCTCCAGGCAGCCCTAGCCCTGTAAGACAGAACAGAGCTTCACCCTAGCGTTTCTGAAACTGAGTCTTTACAAATGCAGTCCATCCTCTTCGTTCTTCTCTGGGGTGCCTAGTGGGTTTGAAACTACCCCGGACAGAGTAGCCATCCATCCTACATTCTTTTCTTCTTACTGTCCTTGGCTCCTACATACAAGGTTGTGGAAGACAGCTCATGTCGTGGAAATAAAAGGTATTATGAGCTTTAAACTTCAAGAAATTGATGCAACAAAAAGTTTGCTGATGTGTTAAAGATGTGGACTTGCCTACGTTTGACTAATATTCAGATAATCACATTTTTATTGTGAGATGTATGGGAATTACGAACACCGTAAGCGATGGCATGTTTCTTCCACAGATGGAGAGAGCTGTGACCGCAGAATATGAACTAGAGTATCTGCTACTTGAGGGACATTGTTTTGATGAACTCACAGAACAACCTCCGAGAGGTCTACAGTTTACACTAGGGACAAAAAGTAAACCTGTTATGGTTGACACGATAGTGATGGCCAATCTTGTAAGTACTGTACATCATTTAATGGGTTAGATTTCATTGGATATTTCAGTAAACCCTCCACGCGTTGTAATAGATTAAATACTCTTTATACTGGTATTGCTGAACAGCCTTAGAGAAAACAGAGATTCTTGGATAATATCAGGTAAAACAAGAATAGGAGAATCATTTTTAAAATATACATTTACATGTAATTATTAATTTTTTTCTTGAAATTCAGTCATAGAATTAATTCATTTCTACAGTTAATAAACAGTGCCTTCAATTAGTCATATAGATCACTGGCCAACACATTTTGGTGCCTCAAATGTTAGGCTTGTTTCTGGGTATACTTGTCCTGCTGATGCCAAAAATGGAACTTGTTTTCCCCTATCACCTCTAATATTTGAGATACACTATAATCTGCTTGTCTTTAAAACGCAAGGTATTTCAGTGTTAACAAGCCGAAGATACAGGAAGGTGCACACTGGCTTAATTTAAAGTAGTTCGTGTTATAGTGAATATTTAGGTCAAGCTACACTTCACATGCTATCCTTTGATCCAAAGTGTGAACGGGACAAATTACATGAAGTAGGAATTTTCCCCAAATATCACTTCACCTTGATTGGGAACTGAATAGCAGGTAGTTTCGATTTGTTATCTTAAGAAGAGGCCAGAAATAAGAGTGACTGTACAATAACTAGAGCCCTGCTGGCCTAGTGAGTTCTGCGTTTGACTGCTAACCGCACAATAAGCTATTTGAGCCCGCCAGCCGCTCTGCAACGGGAAATGGGACGTCCTGCGCTCCCTTACAGATTACAGCCTCAGAAACCCACAAGGGAAACTCCACTCTGGCCGAGAAGACTGTTGGGGAAACAAAATGAAGGGACGAGGGAGCCCTGGAAGTGATTGTGATGGCACAGCTCATTTTAGGGGCATTTTAACCAAGGGGGCGGGGAATGTTCTAAAATTGATGTGGTGATGAGTGTACAATTCTGCTCGATATAATTGAATGATTGAACTGTTGAATTGTATGATATGTAAATTATGTTCAAATAAAACTGTTTAGAAACAAAAAAGTTCCACTCTGTCCTGAGGAGTCACTGTGAACTATCATTGACTGACTGGTAGTTGGTATGGTATAATAAATGGAGATTCAAATGTTCTGAACCCAAAGTGGGTTTGTCAGAGTTCAGACTCCTTTATAGAAATTAAAATGTTCCAGTCGTCTTATATGATGGCACAAATTCTCCACTTGTGCACAGAACCTCTTAAAAGAAAAGTTAGAATTTGTCTTACAAAGAATCTCAAAGTCCCTCTCACTTCTGAGGCATTGAACATGAAGTGTCCATTCACTTCTGTGTATCAAAATGTGTCCTGAAATGTCTGGATAATTTGAAGAAGAAAAATTTAGATTTTCAAAATATTTATGAAAATTGCTATGAATTCTTATACTTTGGACACTCTAAAATTGCCTTCACACCTTGCATATATGTGCCTTCCCGGTGTTTTATTTTCTGCTCTTGCCGAGCTGTGTTCGGGCTTTGCCGTATCCAGCTTGTAGCCTCCGCGTGTCTATATTGCACAACCGTCCACACCACAAGGAAAAGCCTGCTGCCATCGAACCAATGCAACTCACAATGACCCTGTGAGCGAGAACTGCCCTTTTGGGTTTCCAGACTTTGATATCATTTAAATACTACAGAGTGGCTGGTGGACTCGAACCACTGACCTTATGATTGGCAAATCAATGCTTATTGCCACCATGAGCCCATGTACAGTTTCCCTTGGAAATCTCTTAAGAACTAATCATTTTCAAATATTTCTTATGTTTTTTTGCCTTGTTCCATAAATTTCTGGATCTGTGTTCTCATATTTAAAGCTAGAATGATAAATTAATAAATCAGTGTAACTTAATAGCTGAAAATGTAGTGGAACACCCTAAGAAACTGAACTTTGAAGTGTATCCAATGCAGTTTTCTGAATCAGAACAGGTTTATAAACCACAACACCAAGAAAAAAAATTTTTTATTGGCCTACTATGTATTGTTTCTTGAACAGTTCAATTCATTTTTTTTCGTTTAACTCTGTGATCAATTTTTCTCACCATAAAAGGGCTATTTCCAATTAAAAGCAAACCCAGGTGCTTGGAAACTGAAATTACGGCAAGGAAAATCTGAAGATATTTATCAAATTGTTGGGTGAGTTATACAAACCATTATTAAATAAAATTTTAGTGTGATATAATCGATCGATAGCATTAAAATGAAAATCTTCAGAACTACCACTGTAAAACAGGAATTAATTATAAAATTCAAACATCTGTTTCTATCATTGTTTCATTACAGATATAATTTATGGCTAAAGTATATCTTGTTCTTAATACTGTCTTGTTTCTGTTTTCTATAGATTTTCTGTACATTAGCATAATTCCCATTTTATTACTTAATGGTAGTAGTGTATGTATTGGACTAATGGACTTAAAGCCACAAAGAGATTCTCCCACACAGCTAATAAAATAGCTAAAATTTAAGAAGACCAAGAATAACAAGTGTTACATGAGATTATAGACAAGAGCCAGCTTAGATTGTTGAAGAGAATGTACAATGGTACTACCACTGTGGAACAACTTGTCAGTTTCTAATACGTTTAAACATATGTCTATATGATTCAGTCATTCCATTAATAGGTATTTATGTAAAAGAAATACATGTCCATAAAAAGAATTGCACATTAAACTTCATAGAAGTTTTATTTTTTTATTGCCCAAACCTGGAATCAATCCAATGTCAACAGATGCAAGGATGAGTAAATTATTATATATTCACACAACTTAATACTACAATGCAGTAAAAGTGAATAAATCATTGATACACATGACAATATAATCTCAAAATAATTACATTTGCTGAAAAAAATGACTGAGTGAGTTCTGGATGCAAGTATCTCTTCCTGGTTCCATGAAAGAAATTTCCTCCCTGCCTTTTTGAATGTTGTTGGAGGTCTCTCCCTTTTTACACAGTATTTGCATCTTTGTCTGTGTGCTATTATGTTTTTATCCTTACCACCTTACGGTGACTTTGTTTTTCATGGTTTTCTGTTGGGTCTCCGAGCTGTAAGCACAGGAGGAGTGGATGCATAATGCGAACAACTGATAGAAGGGGTTATAGAGAATACGGGGATAAGGGGTGGATAATGGGGAGGGAAGGGGAATCTCAAGAGTAAATGGTGGGGAGAGAGGGAGCACTAGAATCTATTGTGATTGCATAACTCATATTGGAGGCGATTTAAGCATGTGAGAGGAAATGTTCTAAAAAAATTTGATGTGGGAATGATTGTACAATTCTCCTTGAGACGATTGAATGATTGACTATTGAATTATATAATATGTAAAGTTCTTGCCAATAAAGCTGTGAGGAAAATAAGCAACACTAAAAAAAGATTAATCTTGTATTCATTCTATAAGTTATAAAACTCAAAACCAAAACCCCAAACCGAATACAGTTCTAAGTCATAGTGACCCTACTAAGATGGTAAGGGTAAAAACTGAATAGTATACAGAGGAAATTACTCATAATGCTTAGGAAGGAAAAGACCCCAATAATCAAAAAGCCAGGAAAGAAGTTTCTGTCATGGAACCCGTAAGAGATACTTGCACCCAGAACAAATTAAGTCCCATCTATATGGTAGTCAACTGGCCAATGTCAAGTTTGATCCAGCATAATCAAGCTTACAATGTTCTCTGCCTGATCTTAAGGCTGATCAATACGCTTACCTGCGGCTAGAGCAGATAGACCAGTGGCTCAGTCTGAGCAGGTACTCTGCAGATGGGTTTGGGGGCCTGCCCCCCAGAGCCCTCCACACATTGGGGTTCATCATTTGTGCTCCGATGCTTTTCTCCTCACCATATTCAGGGTTTGTAACCGTCATCTTTGACAGTTACAAGCTGGTGTGCTTCTGTGTGGTCGTCGTTGACTCCTTGCTTAGGTGGCTGTTGGTTCGAGTACAATCCTTTAAGACCTCAGACGCTATTCTGATTGATACCCACGATCATCTGTGGGTTCTTTGGGGTTTTTTTTAACCACACTTTGATGTAGCACCCTGATCTTCAGTGATCATTTCATGAAGGTGAGTATCAAGCAGGGCCATGGAGTAAGAACTAATTGTTCTTAAGTTGGACATAGGATTTAGTGTGAGCCCCAAACCCATTCCTGGATCTAGGCCTTTTGTTTTATTACTATTTTTAATTAATTTGCTGTAATTTGGGTGCCAATACATATGTCACATTGTTCCATAGTTCAGTCATGTCAAACATAATTGTGCGATTTCTTCCTTCCTCATACCTGTTTGCCAAAACACACTCTTCCTTCCTAGACCTCTTGACATCATCACGTTCTTGTTGGCCCCACCTCTTTGTAGCCCCCTTCCCCCAAACCCCTGTTATATTTTCTTTCCCTCTAGGTTCAACATCCATGGGTTGTATTTTCAAAAAAATTAGAAAACAGACAACACAGCTTCAAGAGGGTTAGCCCCAACGGTGACACACCTCTGAGATGCGCTCTAATATAAACAAGTATATGCAAAATATAACAGAATAGCCGTCGCAAGGCTTTGTTTGGTTGCCAATACTGCTCTTGATACAGCTGTCTTCTCTTTCAGACACCTGTGTTTTCTGGCTTCAGTCCTAAGGTGACAAGTGTGTCTGCGGTAGAGTCCCATTCACCCAGTGGAGTTCCCATTTGGGCTCTCACCGCTGCAGCTTCTGGAGTGTGATGTGTGTACCTGTAGGTCAGCATTCAGTGTCCCAGTGTTCTGTGGCAATGAGCCAGGGTGCCTGGGTTACCCCCAGATGCCCTAGGTCAGTTCTGCCATCTTGCTGCACTGCCACTAAAGACCCTCCCTGTCTAAGGATCCCGAGAGCCTCTTCAGTCTCTCCTCCCTGCACCTAGCCCTCCCACCTTTCCCCCCAACAGACATGCACCTATGTTCACCCTGACTTGACCATTCCCTCTCCCCTCTCCTGTGCTGCCCCTCCCATCAGTAAGCCTCATCCCTCTGACAGAGCCACCTCCCTCTTGGGGGAGCCAACACCATATCCACATGGCTACCATTCAGCAGATTACGTCCTCCCCATCCGCCTGACCATTTGATCCCAGCTGTTATGAGGTGCCCTCCGGCCAAGCGACCTGCCCTGTTCTTATCTGGTACCGATGATGTGTTGGCATTTACCAGACTGTCTGGTCTCTCACCAGAAGACTGGATGGCATGCAAGCCTGAGCTTGTGCCCGTTCTGCTGCTTGTGCCTACCATATTAGACTCCTATAGTATTTGCCCTTTTGTGCTTGACTAGCTTCACTCAGCATAATGTCTTCCAGATGTCTCCATGAGTTGAGGCGTTTCATGACTTCATCGCTGGGTTTTTGTTGTTGTTGTTTTTAATCATTTTATTGGTGGCTCATGCAACTCTTATCACAATCCATACATACATCAGTTGTGTAAAGCACATTTGTACATTCATTACCCTCATCATTCTCAAAACATTTGCTCTCCACTTAAGCCCCTGGC